CAGGTTTTTTCATTCCAAGGCCCCAGGCTTTCCACGGCCATTCCAAAGATGCAACAGAGAAATGCAGCAAAAACTAAGTATAAGAAGGTTGGTGGAGTGCTTGGCTCTGGATGTGCTCTTTAAAGTGGCTGTAAAGCCTAAACATTGTTTACTTTAATGCCTTTTTTAGGTTAAAGTATTGCCCCCTCAGCCCCCCAATACTTACCTGATCCCAATCTCGATCCAGCGCTGTGCACGAGAACATCGGTTCTCTCTTCTTCTCTCCACTCTCACAGGCTTTGCTGAGAGTAGCAGGAGCCATTGGCTCCAGCTGCTGTCAGTCAAATCCCATTACGAGGGAGTAAGGGGGCAGGGCGGGGCCAAGCCTTGCTGTCTGTGTCAATGGACGCAGGCAGCGAGGCTCAGGATTAAGCATGGAGGTGTGACACGATAGGAACCGGCTTCCTAAGGTGGCACACCAAGGAGAGGAGGAGCTAGAACCACTGAGGCTGCTCTGTGCAAATCCATTGCCCAGAGAAGGTAAGTATAAACCTGTTTGTAATTTTTTTTTTAATTTTAATTTAGATTTTACAAATAAGATAAGGGTTTTTGGCTTCGACTTCCTGTGACATACACTTGTTCTAGGTCAATGACTCAAAAAGCAACAAAGTCAGAGGACTAAGGATATGTCAGAAATGGCAGCCCATGTATTTCTCTTGGCAGATTTTAAGCCTGAATTTTGTATATTTCTTAGAGGTTTGCTTTAAGAGTTAAAGCTGCGAACAGATGTCCTTGGGCAAAAGACAGTCTTCTAAAATACAGCATTTGACAAATGATTTCAGGAAGTGAACAACTTTCGTCTGCAAATACGCTCATTTCCTGCCTTTAGGTGCAGCTATCAATTGTCTGGGAACCAGCAACATCATTCAGGCATTTACTGACTAACCGTCAAAGTACTTTGCTGAAGACATGATGGGCTGAATTATCAAGACCATGGATCCAGAGACAGGTGCCATATAAGACATGTAGGTGTGTACATTGTGTACAATTAATATTCTATGATGGACTGTATAATTGTATATACCTAAAAACCTTTGTATTCACTTTTTCAGACTACTACAGAAAAATACATACAATTGCTAGTGAAACAAATATGTATATCCACCAAAGGGAAAGTTGCAAAGATCGCAATCCTTATCATTGTATTATTTATTATTTGTCAACACATAAAAACCTCCAAAACCACTCAAGAGCAATACATATGTTACCCTCAAATCTAAGTATTTTCATAATAAAGAGGCGTATCCTTTACTGTGATAAGCTAAATGTATACATATAAAGTTAGTACCACAGCGTTTTTCAACAACCTTTACACAACATATACATCCTTTAAATGAAGCAAACAAGAAATATACAAATGTACAAAAAAAAAGTCAAGCTGTATGTAGCCATGCTTAAACTGCAGGTGGTGGTCCTAATTCAGCTTCTGTTAACAGTAATGCGGTACGGGACATTGCATGTGACTTGCACAGGAACCTCACCGCATTCCTGTGCAAATCACATGCGATGTCTGTGTGATGCAATTTGAGGCATAAGTTTTTTGTATAGCTCAAATCACATTGTATCCGCACCAAAAAGGTGCAGGACCCTTTCTTTCCTGCTCCTGATTCGCATTGTATGGGTGTTCTCACCCATGCAGTGCGAATTCTGGTAATCACACTGCATTTTCCAATCTGTTTCGGGGGTTGTCATTAATTTAACATTGACACTTGTACCAGATCGCATGGACACCGTGCCGTTGCAATGCGGTGTGGGAAATGCACAGGATTAGTTGCATTTCCCGCACCGCATTAGTTTAAACCAGGGCTCAATCAATGGCAGGGTTGTTTAGATCATCCTCTCTCAACCAGGGTACCCAGGAACCCCCAGGGTTCCTTGAGGTTTCTACAGAGGTGCCTTGGCAAAATGTCTAAAAATTGCCCAAAATATGTATACAAGCCAGCGGGTGGAACAAGCCTGCCTTTTAGTTACACAGTCACGGGTTTTTATTGTGCACCATTACGACCTTCTAGCCGCTGGTGTCCTGACAACCAATGGCATCATCAGTTGATAAGGAGGATGTCGGCTACCTGCACAGCATCCTAGTTTGACCCTCTCTTGCCTCTCTCCATCAGTGCTGGGGTCACATTAGCTCAGTGGTGGAGAAAAACTGAGGGAGAAGAAAAACATTGGAATACTAGTCAGTACCAGTTTGCAAAAGTGTATTTGCTTTGGAAGAATAAATCCCCTCTAATGTTGGGTGTCCTACATTTGTGGATGTTGCTGCGTTATATAAAACTATTAGAATAGTTTGTCACGTTTTACAATGGGGTGCTCTTTTAAAATTATGGACAGTCCTGAGGCACCCTTTAAAATTATGGACAGTCTTGAGTCCCCCCATTCTAAAATGGGGTGCCTCAAGACTGTCCATAATTTTAAAGGGTGCCTTGGGACTGTCCATAATTTTAAAGGGTGCCTTGTTTAACCTCTTGGCGCTGGCTGCATGCAAATGTGCGGCCTCCCGGCATCTGGGTACATGTCCGGTACTCACAGAAAGGTCCCAATCTCCTCTTTCCCAATCATGTGACTGCCGTGAGAGTGAATCACAGTGGTCACATGACCCTAAAACCCCGCCTCCCAACTTCTGAAACCCTTAAAGGGCTGGGAGGCGCCGGCACCAAGGGGTTAAAAAAAAAGGTTGAGAAACACTGGTTTAGATCATGACGTAATAGTAATATCACAACAAAAATTGTCAGGGTGTGGAATTTCTGGACATTTCATAGAGAAATGAATAATGGACAAGCCAGCTTTTAGCTTGTTATGCAATCCATTATTCATAACAAAGAACCCGATCTCTAACAGCATTCATTAATATTGGCTGCTGTCCTCTACCAGTAGTTGCACCAAGTGGGCCTGCTTACTGCAACACACATAGTACATTAATTTTCAATAGCACCCCAATACACTGATAGAATGCACTGCCTTACTCCGCAATGCACAGTAACACACTACTGTGCGTTTGCGTTACAAAAATGCTGCATTTCTGCTTTTAAGTCCATTGGCAGCCCGTTCAAATAAACAAGCCACCTTAACACAATGCGTGTTAACATGCGTCATAACATACCGCAAAGAACCAGACAGATGTGAATGGGCCCTAAAGCATTTGCATTGAAACTTAGTCATTCTACGTTTCTTACTGTGATCTTTCTTGGCCAGATCACACTATATTTTGTTAATGCTTGCTAATACTTTAGATTGTACACCCCTTGAGTGTTAGAGACTGATGTGAATGTACAATATATATGTAATGTGCTGAGTAAATTGACGGTGCTATATAAGTAACTGTAATAAATAATTGTATTTGCACATTAGTAGTCCTATGCATTGTACTGGCCAGTCTGTATGCAGGCTGATGGTGGAGAAATTCCCCTGGTACTGTCAGAACAGAGGGATGTTTAGATGAAGAAGGGTGGAAGTGGGGAGCCAGGTTTGTTCTGGACTCATACAGAACAATGGACTAGTCCCATCCTATTGTCACCTTAGCTTGTAAGCTTCTGTTCCATCTGTAACGTACTGGAAGATTTCCTTCAATCAGTGTTCTAGATCCATACAGGGCAAATTTTTAGGTGGTTTCCGAAAAACAAGGGTTCCTATTGAGGAAAAATAAGTATGGGCAATGGTACCCAGTGCTTTATAAACAAAATGTACAATAAAAATGTTCCATTCTTTGCTATCTTGAGAAATTTGTAATTCTGTAACAATCTATAATTGCCTAAAGGAATCCTTGTAGAATTTAAACATGTTGGTGAGTTCTCCAGGAGGGACCAGATGTATTTACTTAACATGAACATGCTGGAAAATATTCTTTTAAGTGGGGACGGGATAGCTGCCTGTAGGCACACAACCTTCGACACACAAATCAGGTGGACTGGATTTCTGCCTGTAGGCACATAACCTTCGACACACAAAACAACTCCCCCACACTGGGACTGTCCCATATACATGTTACAATTTGCATCACTGCTTCGACCTGGCAGCCTGGCACCTACTCTCCTGATTTGTATACTTGTTCCACATTGGTGGTTCAGAAAGGACACAGGAGGTTGGCACAATAACCTGTCAACTTTCATTTTCAGAAGGAGGTCAGTGTTGGCTGCCCCATATTTCCCTTTACAAAGATGTACTGTAAATGAAACTTGTTCTTGGAGATATATAGGAGAGAACCTTTGCTCCTTGTAAGAATACTAGTTGCTATTGCTGGCTCTGTCTGATTTCAGTTCTTTGACAACCTGACCCGTAACAAGAATGTTTAAAACCCCCAGAATAAATTAAAATGATTGTAAAGGTTCTTTTTTCTAAACAACAAAGATGTCATATTTACCTGCTCTGTGCTATGGTGTTACACAGCAGCCCTGATCCTCCTCTTCCCACGCTGGCGCTCTAGGCTCCTCCTCTTCTCCGAAATCCGCTTCCTATGGTGGCACACGTGCAGGTTTTATCCCGAGCTGTGCTATGCGTGTCTATTGAGAGGCTCAGTGCCAATTGGCCCTGCCCCCGGTTCCTAATAACTGGATTGGACAGCCAGTGACTCCCGCTGCTCTCACTGTGTCCAATGAGGAGGGAGAGAGCAGTGACGCTGCCCTCAGGCCCCGCACTGGATTGAGATTGGGTTTAGGTAACTATTTAGAGGGGCTGCTGGGGGAGCAGCACATAAAATGCATTAGGATAAAAAACCTGAAGCCTTTACAACAACTTTATATGTTCCAGGTCTGAAAGTTCTAAAGGTATTAAAGCTTTTTGGATGAACCTAAAGCTGGATGCATGAAACTCTGGCTGCCAACAATTGTATTCTCACATATTCTGTTCTGACCTGCAGCTGTCAAAATACCCATACAGCACCTGCAGTCAGTGTTCAGCCGACTTTTTCCTGCCTGGCCCCTTCCAATTCTTAAAGTGTTACTAAACCCAGGACCCTGCATTCACTATATCTGGTCTCCCACAGTACACACAACATGTAAATACATTTATTTTAGTAAATATAAACTGCTAAATACCTTTTCCCATCAGCAGTTACAGCAGTCTTGTGACTCTATCAGTGTCCAGCAGAGCACTGGTTAAAGCTTGTAAGAGGAGTTTTCCTTCTGCTCTAGGAGGATGCAAAACCCCTGACCTCTATCTGGACAGTGCTGATTGGCCCTGTGCTGATCACATGCACTCTCCCAAGAAGAAAAAAAAAAAAACCTCTCTAGCAATACACACTAAACTGAGCATGTGCAGAATGGATGCAGTTCAGTCTGTCTTATCAGAAGATAAGACATGGACATCTGAACAAAAGGAGGAGCAGAAAAGTCAGGATCAACAGCCTTTTTACACAATGCAGAGGATTAACCCCTTAGGTTCCACAGTGAGTATAACAAACATGCTTTACTGCATATACAGACTGATTTTACTGTTGTGGATTTAGTAACACTTTAATAATGGTTTTTTGAGCCTTGGTACTCGCAAGGCCAGACTCACAAAACCTGGACTTAATATGGCCAGCTTTGCAGCCAGCCAACTAGCATCTTGACAAGGAATCAATTACATCATATTCTTCCAGTAAAGGTTTAATTTAAAGTGTATGTCCAACTAAACCATTTTTCCCTGTTTTGGATAGAACAAGGAGGGATTAGCAACCCTGCATGGTTTTTACTACTATTGGGCGCTCCCATTAAGATAGATTTTTCCCTCACTTCCTGTCCTGCTAACATCATTATACCAGAGAGGAAGTGAAGGGAAATCTCAGCGATACTAAAATATATACCTTTTTATTCTTTGTAGAGTAGGGGAGGCTAGAGCCTCTGTTAGCTTTTTATCACTGTCTGTATTGTTGTCGGAGGCTTTCCTTTACCTTGTGTGCAAAATTGTTTCGCTTGTATAAAAAGTGAAGAAAAAAAAATCTCTGTAAAGCTGGGTTCACATTTTTTTGTGCTGCACTAAAGTGGTATTAAAGTACAAACAAAAACTGTAATTTATAGCAGTGTATCAATCATTACATGTGTTGGCTGCATTTGTTTTCTTGTTTTTTTAGGCAATTTTTCCTCTGTTTTCACTTGGTGATCTGGCCAGTAACACACCTCCTGTATTAGAGTGCCTCTATTCTGGAGGAAGGAGCACAGGGGAGGGGAGTGTTAAATGTACTACCAGATTCAAATACACTAACAAATTAAAGCCAAACTCCAGCTAATACTTTATAATCAGTTACAGCAAACGTTTTTTTCCTTTGGGGATAAAGCTTTTGCATAAATAAACAAAAGCTGATCATTGTAAGCACCCCTGCCAGTGTTAAATGGTTTGTTTCATCCCTGTAAACTGATACATCTTGAAGAGAGTTTGTTCTTTTGCAAAATAACAGACTTCCTGGCCAGATCACCAGATGAAAAATATAAGAAAGAAAGCCTAAAAAGGAAAACTGATGCAGCCATCACATCTAAGAATTGGTTAGCTGCAATATAATAAATGTATGCTTTTGGGTTTAATACTGCTTTAACATGTGTTGCATTAAGGCAGCCAATGTATTTCAATGTGCTCTCTAAGGCACCAAAATGCATCAAAGTGCAAGAAATAAATGTTTGTAATGCAGCACACTATAATACCCAGTAGTGCATTACTAGGCTTTGTGGTGAGCTGCAATGCACATCCGTTGGCAGGGGACACACATGTGTGAACAGGACACATAGAAAACAATTGTTTCATGTGTGTCCTAACAGTGACCTGCGCTCATGCAGTGCAGTAAAATGCAGGTCATCGAAGTATGCATGAACAGGGTCTTATCTTGGACATTTTGAAGTTCTCATTTCATCAAAGTTACAGTACCAGTCACAGTAGCAAAACCATTTCAGTAAATTTAATCCGCAGAACAACAGGACTGAGACATGCCGGATGATCAAAGAGCTACAACCTGCACATTGCTTATGGGGCATGTCTGTACAGTGTTCCCATCCCATAATTGAATTGGACCTTTTTCCCAAGCACAAGAAATCCGATTAGAGGCTGGCACTTATTTCATATAGATTCTCTACTAATAATATCAGGACAGATGTCGCCGTGACAATCTCAAGAACAAAGAGTTTGATCAAATCTGTAAGACTCAATCACCATCACTTCCAGCGATGAATTAGCATCCTCTGTCTCAGTGATGGGACTTTGTCAGAGCAAATTAAGTGGCTGTTCTGCTCGGTCCTTCATCAATTGATTGTTTCACAGCTTTGACATGGAGCTTTGCTAGAAGGTTTCTAACATTTGGTACAGGTAAACATGAGAGCATCAGTTTTGCTAAAAAGAAAAAAATTCTACTAACTAAATCTATGGCAAAACAAGACGCTACCATTTTTGGAAAACTGATTGCATGAAATACTCCAAAGGTTTAATTCAGGAAATAAGTACAGACATTTGCCGTGATTTTGTTTTCTCTTTTCTAAATTTACCAGGTAATTGTGCAATGAAGGACCATGTTCAGGCAGTCCTTGTTGGTGTGTCAACGGTCTACCAATTCTTCTCCTGTGTTGTCACCCTGTCACATGAACCCCTGGGGGAGGTGACAAGCAGCAGTGCCAACACACCACTGCACAGGCATGGTCCACCGTTTTCAGAATGCCAGTTCACAGCAATGATGTGTAGCTGACACTGGATTGAGTTCATGTAGACATACATAGCATTCATTATATCTGGTCTCCCACAGTACACACAACATGGAAGTAAATATAAACTGCTAAATACCTTTTCTCATCAGCAGTATATAGCGGTCTTGTGACTTCTGTCAATGTCTGGCCAAGAACTGGTTAAAGCTTGTAGGAGGAGTTTTCATTCTCCCCTGATTGTCCTATGAGGCTGCAGTACCCCTGACCTTCTGCCTGGACAGCTCTGATGGTCCTGTACTGATCGAATGCACTCTCCCAAGAAAAAAAAAAACTCTCTAGCAATACACACCAAACTGAGCATGTGCAGCTTGCCACCAAGGCTCTGTTTTATCAGGTGATGGATTGGGGACAGTAGAAGAAGGGGAGGATCAGAGAAGACATGCTCAAACATCCTTTTTACACAATGCAGAGGATTAACCCCTTAGGTGCATCAGTGAGTATAACAAGCATGCTTTACTGCATATACAGACTGATTTTACTGTTGTGGGTTTAGTAACACTTTAATACACAGCTGAAGTGTAACCAACCTGAGTTTAGTTAGATTAGCTAAGATGTGATTTCTGATCATTTCATTTTTCCCTTCTTCAAAACCAGCCTGATCATATATTGGTTTAGCTGACATTACTTATACTGAAATCTGATTAAAATATCTTAATTCAAGCCGAGATATTAAACCCTTTGCAGTATCACCATGAATATTTTAATATGTATGCTCAACATATTTAAAAAGTGTATAAAGCATAACAGTAAATCATATGAAATGGAGAGGCTGCCTGATCTGTACAGAATCGGTGTACACTGTATATGGGCAGATTTGTACAAACAAAGCAGAGATGCACCTCGCTGTCCTGCAGGAACACAGCCCTTGCTATATCTGTCTATGACACATGTTATTCTTACTGATTGCTCCCACTTCTTCACAACAGCATTTCTCACACAGAACTGAAAGCAAACTTTGTGCAGTGACAGGTGAAGGCCTAGGTATGCACTGGGCTGCCAGATCCAATCATTGGAGACTACAAACAGCCTCCTTCGGAGGCCTCCTGGGGATTTGTCTCAGAATTAGAAGCCAGCAGGGGTCATTAACCTCCCTGCCCCAAACTCTGTGCCAAGTGTGGAGAGACTTTTTTTTTTTCTTCTTTAAATCCCAACATGTCAGCTTCACTCAACTGGAAGTCATTAAAGATCATATCATAAGAAAGGACACATCCCTCGTATGACTCCAACAAAGGAAGTGACATACAAGAAATAGCTTCGCTCTTTCTTGTAACAGAAAACCAAAAGCGATTGGTCAGCAGATGACAGCTTTTTGTGCAAATAGTTACAAATAGGCAATGATACTTTGTTACAAGAAGAGATAATTGTTTACTTTTGAACCTTTGTTTTAGGCAGTCGTCAATCCAAGACAGAGAACCAAACCACACTGTTCATTTTCTGATGAAAACTGTCAGCTGACAACTAATAATCAAGTACAAAAAAAAGCTAAAGGTCCACATTTGTAGAGGGGATGATTGTGCACTATATTAAAAAGGACAACTCTAGTTTTAATAAAGGAAAATGATGACTATTTTCTATTTATCATATATTTTGAGTAGTTTTTGCACGGATTAGCTTTAACCACTTTTCTACCAAAGAAAGTTTTAATTTTTTCACACACGTTAATATCTGCATTTTGTGCTAGAAACTACTTTAAAGTGATTGTAAACCCATTTTTTGTTTTTTCAAATATCAAACGTCATACATACCTGCTCTGTGCAATGGTTGTGCACAGAGCAGCCCCAATCCTCTTCTCGGGTCGCCCACTGGCAATCTTGGCTCCTCCTCTCCACCGAATGCCCAACATAGCATGCTGCCTGCTGCTGGGGGCACTTGTGTGGGCTCACTCCCAACCTTGCTCTGTGTGTCCTTACACACAGAGCATGGCTCTGTCCAACCCCCTCATTGCTGGCTGTGATTGACAGCAGCAGGAGCCAATTGGGAGGAAGGAGAGCTTCTGAGCCTATGAGGAGGGATAGAGCCAAGAGATCCGCTGCTCGTGCACAGCGCTGGATTGAGATCAGGCTCAGATAAGTATAAGAGGGGGGCTGGGAGGGGAGCTTTACCTTAATGCAGAGAATGCATTAAATAAACCTTAAGCCTTTAGAACTATTTTAAATCCCAAAACAACAATACATATTCTAAAAGCAGAGGCCCTGTAGAAGAAATAATAGTGGTAGTTGCAATCTTTCATGTCACAGTATATTTGCTCAGCTGTTTATTTTCACATATTTTCAGGAAAAATACACAAAAATGAACTTCATGGAAACAAACAAATTATACTTTTGGTACATTCAGAGGCGAGTGGGGGGAGAGAGCACTAAGACGCATCTACGCTGTGTGCGTTTGGGGATGGCCCATCAGCAATGGGGGTTAGTAGAAGGTCCATGTGGAGTGACGAAGGCCTGATGAAGTCGTGAGCATGCTCCGAACGCACGCCATCTTGGAAATCCGGCTCATTTGGTGACATCATCCCTGCGAGTCTCCCTGCACCCCTCTGCTACTTCCCGAGCGCTGGACACCACCAGAGCAGGTGGGAAAACACCCAGAGCATGGCCAAAGGACCTGAAGCTTCCACCGGACCTCCATTCTTGACATGCCTACCTGTTACCTATCTACGTGAGTGCAATTTTACCATTAAATCTGCCTGATTTTAACCGTCTACACTTAGTGGCACTGCTGTCTCTCTTCTCTATTATACTTTTGCCAAACTATAAAAGATGGGGTTGCATCAAGTAAAAAAATACCAAATATGTGAAGCTTTACAAAAGCGAAGTTCAGACTTTATTGGACATTTTCAGATTAGAAACTCTTCACTAAATTATTAGATACAATGCACCTATGTTTCAAAAAAAAAAAAAATTGGGAGCCCTGGGTCACCAGGTACTTGCCAAACAAATTTGACCAGCAATTGCTAGAAAATTAGATGCACCAAAAGCCACTGATTATTTTGAGTTAGGTCCTGCATCCATATGACCCTGGGGCATCCATATGACCCAACCCTTCCTTCCGCTTTTCTTTTTTTTTTTTTTTAATTATTGTATCTTGTTAGAAAATTCTACGTGGACCTACCCTGGACCTTGCAAGACTAATTTCTTTTTATGACAGGTACACATTTGTATAATCTGCCTACACATCAAACGCCTGCTACAGTCAACACTATACAATCTTTTTATGGAATCCAGGGGTTTTCCTTTCAGTTCATGGAATGCTTATGGGCAATTCTGATTGTGCAATTAAAAAACAAAATCAGGCATGCAGCTTAGTATATAAACACGTTTTAGACTTTACTGACTGCATTGTGGACTCTCTAAGCAAAACACTAAATTTACAGTTATTATGGTTTGGATGCTTTCCAAACAAACTGTTCTCATTTATACGGTATACTCATGTCTGGCAAACATTTAAATTACACGCTTCCTATAATAGTTATGTATTATTTTTCTTTATTTCTCTTCATTTATAAATTGTCAAAATGAATTGCAGTCTTTTATAATCTGTGGATTTATATATTATTTTAGCGTTATTATGTATCATGGGCAGAGCTGGATTTGTGTAAGTGAAAATAACTATATTAATAACAATCTGCATGTAATCATTGCACTGTACCAGTGTTGCATTTTACCATTATATATTAGGAGACATCATTATTAGTATTTTATTATGATCATCATTTTGTACAAGCATACTCAAGAAGGCAAAGAGCAAAATGCAGACAACACTAATTCATATTGACCAATCAGATCTTTCGCCGGTCTGACTGTGCATGGTTAGCATTATAGTCAGATGGAGCAATAATCATTGTTATTATTACTAGAGACAACATTAATAAGAACAATGGCTGACTGGAATGTTGGATGTAAGTAGTAATTCTTAAAGCCAAACTTCAGACCTTTATTTAAAGGACCCTCAGGCTAAGGCAGTTCATATTCACCCAGGCTGAGTAGACTAAGTATATATGGTGAGTACAGGGTGTCATGGATCCACCCCTTTAGAGGGCATCACCATGGTGCCCTGCACTCACAGTGTAATACAGAGAGCAGCACTGAGAACAACTCACTACCAGCAGAAGAGATAAAAGAGCAAGAGGCTCCATGGGGGAGATTTACTAAAACTAGAGCATTCAGAATCAGGTGCAGCTGTGCATGGTAGCCAAATCAGCTGCTAGCTTCAGCTTTATTCAATTAAAATGTTACTAAACCCACAACAGTGAAATCAGTCTGTATATGCAATAAAGAATGCTTGTTATACTCACTGTGGAAACTAGGGGGTTAATCCCTTGCATTGTGTAAAAAGGGTGTTTGATCCTGTCTTCTTTGATCCTCCCCTTCTACCACAGTCCCCAACCCATCTGCTGATAGCCTATAATAAGACTTACCTGTAGGTAAAGTAAATACCTTCTAAACATGCACCATTTAGGAGATATTTATTTTAGTAGCAGCCAGTGACATCACTGGTACATGCATACTGTGCTCTTAATGGACGGCATGCCGTGCATTGAGAGAGCTGTGCCATGGACGTGACTCCGGCATGAATTCACGGGAGTGATGTCATTACAGCTCAGCCATTCAAAAGGCCAGAGTCCACATACCTGTAAGGAAGACCAGGTGAAGATGGAAGCCCTGTCAGCGGTGACAGCACAGCAAGTCTGTCATAATGTGCTAGTATGCAATGCATATCCTGCATTATCCTGTATTATGACATTATCCTGCAGAGACCCATTTTTTTTTTCAGTTTACTATTGCTTTTAGCTTTTTTGTAATTGTGGCGATTCTGGTGGGAAAGACTTTACATAAAAGTGTTTTTATTTCCTTTGTATTCCTGTTCTACAGACATTAATATGCCTAAACAGTCCTGTGTGCGCACCAGTCTTCAGGATAATGAAAAGACAGCAATGTTGTAAGTGTGAGAAGAGGGAAAATGAAGGTCAATAAATAGAAAATAGAATGCAGTTCCAGTTTTGACCCTTAAATAAATGTCAGACGTAAGAACCTTCTTTCTTCTGCTTCATGCAGATCTGTGTTTACTCCCACTTCTGTTTTTTCTTGAATATTCCCCCACCAGTCAACAGATTACCAGTTATCGGGGGGCAGCTCTGACACGAAAAGGTCAAGCCTTGCTGCTTTACCAAGATGGCCGCCTTTACACAGACATAATATATAGTAAGGCATGGTAAGTCAATAATGGGGGAAAAAGCTACAAGGAGATCACAGGCAATACTGGTGACTACTCCTTTGCCGTCTGCATGTATTTTTTGGACAAAGC